GGCCGCGGTACATGGTGCTCAAGTGGTCCAGCACAAGAAATTTTGCTTCCGCGGCTGGAATGGTGCGCTTCGCTAGTAGCTTGGGTACGCTGAAGTTACACGCAATATCCACAAAAGACCATGGCAGGTCCATAGGGCGCCGTTTAGGCAGTTTCAAGCCTAAATATCGAAATGTGTTCAGAGCCGCGTTGAAATGTGAGCCATTTCTTGCTCTTAGCCGCCGGGGAAGCGCCGTGCCTGCGAAGGACTCGCCCAGTCTTGACAGCTGAGTCAATAAGGCCTGAGATGTCAAAATGTGGAGACTCGGCTTCATTGGTGACCTTCGTGTTTGAAGCCGCCTGAGGAACTCTCATCGCCAAGCGGAGACCCTGTCTGTGCACTGCCTTTAGGCGTTCGAACTGGTTCGGTGATGGTGAAATCAGGGGCAGCTGATAAAGAAAGCGGCTTGTTATAAGTGCAGCATTCAATTTAAGCATGGACATATGATTGTTGCCCCAACGGACCCCTGCCATGCGACGAAGAGCGTTGATCCTTTGCACTTATGCAGTGACTATACCATCAACCGCCCGTCGCCATAATAGAACATAGAAGTCATAACAGTAACGATAAAGAAATGTTACGTAGAACAGGAACTAACTTCTTACTTGCTAGAGGGGGCTTCTTTCTTCCTTGCGCAAAATAATGATGATACTTTGGCGGGGAAGGGGGGGGGGGGTACTCAAAGACCACAATATGCTTATGAGGATGGCTCCGGAAATTTAAACGATACGGTGTTCTTTAACGTGCACTGACGTCATATATAACCCACGGGCCTCTACAACATTTTATCTCCATCGAAATGCAACCAGCGTGGCTGGGGTAGAACACGTGACTTAAGTAATTACCCCGAAGAATTCTTGCACCTAGTGTGTTTATATGTCCCAGAGGAAGGAGCATACTTGCGAAAAAAATCTATTTGCTTGTTTACTATTTTAGCAGTAACGTAGCCGAAACGACGCTTACATGGCCGGCAGTCTTATCGCTCAGAATTATAAAAGCGCATCTCTATTTTCCCATTCCTAACGAACTCGACGTGGTGCTTCGCGGAGCGTTCCTCGCTGACCAATGTGATCGCTTTCCTGGGATGCGTGGATGGTGCGTATAGTACGTACGAGCACATGCAGGTAGAAGTCGAGTACGGAGAAAGTCACGCTTCCTTGCTCTGATTCTTCTCCCGACGGCTGTGGTACATAGAATGACGTTTCGGATGACGAATTTCGAGTGACTGTTTTGCTCCCTGAGACAAGTAATCATTGTCTTCTACCTCATGCCTTAGTGCGGTCATCCAGACTCCCAGAAGATGGATGAATGGCAGTCTCTCTTGAGAAAGGAGGTGGCTTTCCTCCGCATTTTGTGACTTGGCGATGCCATTGTGGTCGTACACCTCTGTCTTGTGGCGACCAGAGCTTACGACGAAGTCAGTGCAGGCATGCTGGAGATAGATGAAGCGCAATTGGGCTAGCCTGTGGGAGATGGTAAGTTGCACATCGATCAACATATAGCTGATAATTAGCCCGATTATGGTTATGGTGCATTTGTACGAGTGGAGGCATGAGTCCGCCAGTAGATATTTGCCACGGGAGCTCGAACTATGTTCGGTTTCTGTGCACTGCATTCTTATAAAACAAAAGAAATAGTTACTGTGTGCCATCCGTCAGGGCGCTATGCTTTTATTACTCCCTCGTGCTCTTAGTCCTGCAAAGAGACTAAGGTTATAGTTAGGATTCATTCGTTCGCACTTAGTTAATTTACAGATGTAGTCCTTTTTGGAGATAAACAGCATGGTAGTCCACTTACAGATCAGCACATGCAGTCCAATGGTAGATGCATTTCTAAAACGGCTGAGCACTGAGCTTAGGCAATATTTCAAGAATTCTTACTCGGGCGGAAGAGTTCAGAACTTGAAAAGTCTTTTGTCGCCGAGATCCGCGACGTAAGCCTGATGTAACTGTGTTGGGGTTTCGTAGCAAAATGACGAATAAAAACGTTTTCGCCTCATTTTAATAATCAATTTATTATTATTAAACTGACAAATATGTTTCTTGGTTATCTACTGCATTAGCGCAAGCTAACTTGGCACTTCTCTGTAGTGTCCGGGAAAACAGCGAGGAGAATAGGACAAATGACGAATTTCTACTATACGGCGCTTCGAAGCTTGTTTACTGCCCCGCCTTGGTGGTATAGTGGCTAAGGTAGTCGGCTGCTGACCCGCAGGTCGCGGGTTCTAATCCCGGCTGCGGCGGCTGCATTTCCGATGGAGGCGGAAATATTGTAGGCCCGTGTGCTCAGATTTGGGTGCACGTTAAAGAACCCCAGGTGGTCGAAATTTCCGGAGCCCTCCACTACGGCGTCTCTCATAATCATATGGTGGTTTTGGGACGTTAAACCCCACATATCAATCGAAGCTTGTTTACTGAGGCTCATTGTGGCATCACCGATATTCTCTTCTGAACACTTCAATTATTGACGAGCGAAAATTTCAGGAATGTGACATTAGCTAATGAAATTTGTTTCTCCCAAGCTTATGTTAGCATTAGCTTGTGTAATCTGATTATATAAGTTCAAGGCGCATGTGCAAGATATGAGCGAACATGCAAGTCTTCCATATACACGGTAAATGACACTATCACTCTGGATTATCGCGCGGACAATGACTCACGGGAAGTCTGTAATATCCTGTGTAAAGCACTGACGGCTGCTACATTAAGTGGTTCAGGTCTTATAAAGTTATGCAAGTGACGTGAAATGCGCTGTTAAGAAATCAATGAAAAAAAAATGAAAAATGTCTCCGTCAATACTCAGTAATCCTTGATAAAAAAACAAAAAATTGTGCGTGGTAAAGTAGTTGAGCCTCCGGCGTAGCGGAAGTGGAAAGTCCGTAATATATACGCCGCACCTATTGCATGTTTTTTCCGCTCTAAGACCATTCGTCCTTGACCGAGCATTTTTATAATGCAGATCGAGCGATCTTTTCCAAGCTAAATGTTTCTTTTGCTCGTTCTGTGACCCGGACTGGAGTACTTTCACCGTGATAGAACTTCGGATAAGGGAGAGCGCAACCGCGTCCTACTTCGCTCCGTGCCGTGCGAGAAAATTCAAAGAATTATGCGAAGACTGAAAGGAAGACAATGCCATCTTGGAACTGCCCTGCTGACGAGTTTCGACACGTCACGAACACGCGCATGATAGACCACGATGAAATTCGCTATTCAATGTTGGGCTCCCTACACTCTAAATAAAACTACTCGGCATAAGTTATGGCAGCTTCGCACTAAGGGGTTTCAAGCCTGAAGGACAGCTGAGGTGGGAGGCCCTCCTTGTTTCTCTTTACATTTTTTTTTCTTTCTCGCTTATCTTTCTCTTCATTTCTTTTATCTTCTTAGTTAATCTGTTCCTTTATATTCCTTTTTTCTAGTTTGTATTTCTTTATCTCTCTACTTTTATTTATTTCTTCTCTATTCACTTTCTCTCTCTCTCTGCTTCCTCTTTCTTTGTTTGTCTTCATTTGCCTCTTTCCGTCTTGGTCTATGTTGTTTTGTTTTTTTTTGTTTTTTTATCTCTGTCTCTCTTTCCATGTCGCCCCTGTCTTTCTTTTTCCGATGGAGGCGGAAATGTTGTAGGCCCGTGTGCTCAGATTTGGGTGCACGTTAAAAAACCCCAGGTGGTCGAAATTTCCGGAGCCCTCCACTACGGCGTCTCTCATAATCCATATGTGGTTTTGGGACGTTAAACCCCACATATCAATCAATCAATGTCTTTCTTTCTTTGTCTCTTCTTGTTACTCATTCTTTCTCTTTCTATCTTGCTGTCTATTTCTTTTAATTATCTCTTTATTCGTACCTGTTTCTTCCGCTGTTAAGATGACTTAAAAAGAGAAAAGCGACGCTGAATCTAACGGCGATACCCTCAGAACCATGTCACACAAGCTCTATTTATTGTTGTTACAGAAGCGTCAAGCTTCCTTGATTACGTATATTACCCGTGGTCCATTGACCCTGCACGACGGAACTTTCACGCTCGGATCGCGGTTGCAACGCTTGTGCTGCGGAAACTCTCCTACAACCACTCTTTACTCGGTGCTGACAGTTACTGCGACTAAAGGCGATGCAAGGTCAACAGAATATATGCCGCACAGAAGCCGGTGCTGCTAAAGAAGCGCTGGTTTATTTGGTTCTCCTTGTTCGCTTTTTGTTAGGGGAGCGAGGGGAGGGAGTAAATAATGCATGATCGACCTTGCTCGCGATTGAAACCTGGCGCTGTCTACGTTTTATGCAAATGAGGTTTCGCCGAGGTAAAAAAAAATAAAGTTTCGTTGTCTCCACGGGCACTTCAACATGAAACGACTACAACTACTGACAAAGAAAAGAACTAATAGGTCACACACAAAAAAAAATATACCCGCTGGTAAACGCAAAAAAAATAACAATAAATCCTCGCCAGGGATTGTCTCCGCGATGGCAAATGTGAAAGCCTTCGTTATCGTTTCGGTACACAGGAAAGGAAGGAATGTGAGAATCCATACTACAGTGGGTGACCGATGCCTGAAACAGATAAATCTGGCGGAGGAGCTCTGTAAGGAACGGGTGGAGAAGAACGGGCGTTGCAGCGACAGCGCCAAGCTCACCGTTGTGGCCCTGCAGCGCCAAGCTCTATCTACGCAGCCGCCGCTTCCATGCACTCGCTCAATCGAAAAGAAAACTCGCTCTGTGTTCCCTTCGAGGTGATCGCACGTGAAGAGCGTGCAGATCAGATGCGAGACGCTGGCGCGTCCTTTGTGGGCGCTTTATTTCAGCGTCGAGCGAGGATTATCCGAGATTAAGTGAGATACGGGGTTCCCGTGAACCTTCTCTTTCCAGAGGCACACGTCGTCTTCTGCTCTCTCGGCCCTCTCTGGTCGACGAGGTGCCGGTATATAAGCGCGGCTTCCGACTGTCGGGCTTCTACGGGAAGAGTGTATCGTCAGTGGTAGAGTCATTTGTTTTTTTTTTCCCCCTCACCAAACATGGCTGCTTTCAACGGAGTAAGTTGAGGATCATTTCACGAATCGTGCCGACCTTTGGATTTTCTTTGGATGCAACGGTTCAGCAAGCGTCTCGTACTTTTGAATGATAAACTATAGCCACGTTACTTCTGGATACTCTCTAACGATTTTTGAATGTTTGTATTGTCGTGGAACAAAATTCAACCGTTCATCAGCAGGTCAACTGCATCTTCGCCTGCTTGTTTCTGATTGAGCGAATAGAAGCGCTCTCTGATACTAAAAAGTACAATAAGTAATTTATTTTATCAATGGTTTCCAAAAAGTAGCTCTTCATCACTGCTTGTGAGAACTTTCGTACATTTTCTATCACACACTTAATAAGCATCCCTCAGTTTTGTTAAAGACTAATCTGGTTTTTCCAGACCCTATCAAATAATCGTCACTCAGGCTGAACACGCGATGCCACAGTTATCGCTTTCCTCGTCTAAGTGAGTCCACTCCAATTATCTTCGCAGGTGCAGCTTCTGATCCTCAACGTGCTGGCGTTCTGGAGCGCCGTCAACGCCGGTGGCCTGCACCCGGCCACCGAGGGATTCTCGCACACCATTGCCCACCCTGACGGCTCCACGCACCATTCCACGTTCATCAGGCACAACACCGACGTGGTGCCGCGTGACCACGACTCCGGAGTCTACGATCCACAGACGGGACACGTCGTGTCCGTCCACTCGGCCGGCGCTCATGGTTACGGCGTTGGTGCTAGTCACGTGGTTGCCTCCAGGCCCCTCGGAGCTTACGGTGCCACAACCTACGGAGGTGCTGCTTACGGTACTGCCGCCTACGGTGCCCTTGGAGCGTACGGAGCCTACGCCGCACCGTCCTACTCTGTGGCCGCTGCTCCAGCTGTGTCCGTAGCCGCTGCTCCAGCCGTGTCTGTAGCTGCTGCCCCGGCAGTCACTGTGGCACACGCACCTGCGGTCTCCGTCACCGCCCCTGCTACTACAACTGTCGTGGGCCACGGAGTCACTGGCTATGGTTACGGCAGTGGCGTCGGCCTTGGCTACACCACTGGTCTCGGTTACGGTGCGGGTTATGGTCTCGGTCTCGGCTACGGGGCCGGCTATGGTCTTGGCTACGGCGTCGGAACTGTCGGAACAGTCGGCACAGTTGGAACGGGAGTTGCCACCTACGGAACCGGACTCGCTACATATGGTGGCGGCTATGGGGCCGGCTATGGTGCTGGCTATGGTGCCGGCTATGGTGGTGGCTACGGCTACGGCCTCACCAGCCTCGGCGGCTACGGGTACGGCTATGGCCAGCCCACGTCCCGCACGGTTGTCCAGAGGGGACCGTTCATCAACAACCGTGTCGTGCAGACGGCATTCGGTGACGTCCACACCCCGCACCACGAGTTCCACCACCACGAGCACCACACCGTGCACCCGACCGGTGGCACCGCGTTCGCAGCCTTCAAGAAATAGGAAGCCCTTACGTTGAACTGCGGATAATGGGTGGCAATGGGACGAGCAGCAAGCCTTCAAGATCAGCGTCGTCCGACCATCTTGTAGTCACTGCAGTAAAGCCAACGTGGATCTCCACTTTAGACTGGCAAACTACACGCCTACGCGGTTCCTGAAAATAGATACTTCGAGACATACACACAAGAAAGCCCTTGAAATTCTGTCAGCTGTATGCTTCATGTAAAAATGTTGTCGCCTGGTTGTTTATTGTTACATATTTATAAATAAAGAAGATATTTTTTTAGTAAAAACACATTTCGAAATACGATCGTACTGTGTATCATTCATGGTTTTGACATGGTTTATTCATATAGATCGGGGAAGGCTGCTTCAAGTGTTTACGGTGACACACCCTGATGTCACCATCTGCTTGGAGATGGGTGCCGTGAGTTCTACGTAACGCGTTACAAGTAATCGATTACATTTAATCAATTACAATTTGCTGTATACTTCCATGGTGGTTTAAGTCCTCTTAATGGGACGGCTCCCTGCTCTCCCATAGTTGAGTACGAAGTACTCGAAATTGTTAAACACTTTCTCTAAACACACATTTTATTTTCTTTTAATTATGTAGTATAATCGATTACAGTTTCAAAACTGTAGCATTGTAGGCGATTCAAGAACATCTTCTTGCAACTGATTACCGGTAATCAATTCACTTTTATAAAATAAAGTTCGTAACCATTTTATACGGCAAGTTCTCGTTTAAAAAAATGCAATCGCTCAGCAAAAAACTATCCATCCTGTCGAACGGGAGGCTGCCTCTAAAGCCTATTTTTTCGTCCCATCCATGGCCTTATTTACAACACCTTACTCGAGCTCCTGCGACAGCAAAGCAACGGCGCTTCATAGGGGACCTGGGCTCTAGCATCGAATAAATGCGCAACTACGAGTGGATACTCAAGGCATTCTTGCATTATAATACTACCCTTTCCTCCAGGTTCCAGCTGATGCATGGAGAGTCTCTCAACGATGTGTTTAGAAAAAGTGGTTAATGATTTAGAGTATATGGGAGATCTGAAAGTCTTTCCGTGGGCTTCACACTTGATGAGGTGGCATGGACGGAAATTACGCCCTGGTCGAGCCCGTCATAACGACTCAGGGCCCGCCGCTGATGCATCAGAAGACGAACACCGACAGGTCGCCGCTGTCAATAAAACTTATAAAAATCAGCTTCGAAAATTCAAAAAAAAACTCCTGTTGAAAGTTAACAACTTGCAGAAGCCACAGTAAGCATTCCGGCCCCCACGCAAGCCTCCGGCCTTCCCTCTACAATGCAAGCCCCTGCAGTAGCTCGCCGTATAGTTTGAGAAAGCTTACGTTGTTGTGTTACGGCAATAAACCTTTCAAGGTAAGCAACGCAAAGTAATCGATTACATTTCCTCAATTCCTTAGCTACTTTTCTGGAGACGTGACTGACGACTGAAACTATTTGCATTTTAAAGGGAGAATGTGTAATACGTTACTTACTTTCCGCAATGTGTACAAGTCTGCGTGATGTAATTGTACCGCATTGTGCACCAGTCCCTATGGCACAATGTAACTAAAAAGCATTCGCTCCCGTTGGTTATGAAATGCAGTCTAAGAAAAAAGAAGAGTAATGTTACTTTTTCTGGCTAGTCGTAACTTTTCACATGCATAACTTTAATTTTAGAGATAGCCGTTAAATCTATCCTGGAATAGTTACACTCTCTTGGAAAGTCATAGCAAGCGCGGCCCTCGAAGAAGGAGTTAATGCGCATCTTTAAAGTGGTATAGATGAAAATTGATTTGATTGATTTGATATGTGGGGTTTAACGTCCCAAAACCACTATATGATTATGAGAGACGCCGTAGTGGAGGGCTCCGGAAATTTAGACCACCTGGGGTTCTTTAACGTGCACACAAATCTGAGCACACGGGCCTACAACATTTCCGCCTCCATCGGAAATGCAGCCGCCTGGTATAGATGAAAACTAACAGACAATGATGCCAAGAAAAGTGTATACGGAATGCCATTAGAAGCAATTGTAGAATATATAAATTTGAAGAAAGAAAAGTGTACGAAAAGATCACTTGCCATCGGCAGAGACCAAATCTGTGACTTTCGAGTAACGCGTTTCATCCGATGCTCCACTGAGCTACGACGGTGGTCATTCTTCCGTCCTCAGTGGTAGAGCATCGGACTCGGTATTCGAAGGTCCCAGGTTCGGCCCCTGCCGATGGCAAGCTATATTTTCGTCCACTTTTCTTTTTGCTCATGTTTACGTATTAAAGTAATTTCTAATAACATCCCCCCCACTTTCTTCAGCATCCGATTGTCTGTTAGTTCTCATTGATGTGGTACAAAAAATGTGGTCTTCATTTACAAGTGCTGTACACGTCAATTTACACGTCAAGACCCTCTAAAAAGAATATTGCTTACTCCTTTTTTTTTTCTTAGAGAACAGTGCAATGCAGTCTCGTTCCCATTCACAAACGTGAACTTCTTGAAGAGAGGCTTACAAAAAAAATGAAAAACAGCTAAGCAAAGCCATTTCGTGTCTTTCGAAGTTGGGTTTATTTCCAGTACCAAAAAATTTCATGACAATGCCCTAGAGAAAGGGAAATGGGCCAAGAGCGGACACTCAGTGATAAGAGGACCAAGCCCTTCCCGCCACCTCCTCGCCCAAATAGCATTCGAGATTTTCGTGTCAAATCACGGGAATCTTGATGCCGGAGAACACAAGCTGTCGTAAGCGTAGTTCTGGCGCTAGCAGCGCAAGAAAAAAAACTAAAAAAAGAGGTGTGTGCAACATAAATGTAAAGCTTGTTTGTTTTTTATCTCTTTTCTTCGTGAGCACAGATATTTTTTTGCAGATAAACTGAAAACTTTTGAAAGAACGTTCCGCCACCAAGCGACATCGGCGATGCGACGTCATAGTCAAACCAGCTATGGCGCCTAGTGAAACAGGGCAGCTCCCATTCGTGTTCCGGGGGCATCTGTTTTTTCGCTTATTCACTACAAGTTGTGCTATTCAGCGATATTTCGTGCGACAGTGGCGCTCTTCAGTCCGGCAATACGGTGTCGACTGCTGCAAGGGACGACAGCAAGGTGAGAACCCACACTCTTCTTCTTCTAAGTACTGCATAGAGTATGCGTAGTTAGTAAAAGAACTTGTTGTTGGGCTAGTTGGTACAACACTTCTAAAAGTTAATTCGAGCGCGAACACACGACACGATCACTCACACACGCACACTGTGTGTGTTTGATGTCTGGGTGTGTGCGTGTGAGCGATCGCGTCGTGTGTTTACGCTCGAATTAACTTTTAGAAATGCGTAGTTAGGCTGTGTTGGTTGGTTGTGACAACCCCTCCTTTATTTCAGTGTATACTACGGGACCTCCTTCTGTATGTCCTTTTTTGTACATCTTATGAAATAACAAAACTTGATTTGATTTGATTTGATTTGATTCGATGACAGTGTAAACACGCGTGTATGCTCCTCAAGGAGATGAATGGATGAAAAAAAAAATCACCCCCCGACCATTCCGTACAAATGGTTAACCAGGCATAGCTGAAACGTGCGGCCCCGGTGTTCAGCAGTGAGTTCAACCCAACGTGGCACTGAAGCCTTTCACAATTATTGGTTACATGTTCGTCTTTCTTAATTAGGTTAGACAAACGTTTCGCTTGGGTTTATCACAGTGTTTATTTCACGTGTCGAACATATATAGTGCCTCGCATGATCACGGTCATGTAGTGCAATGAGCGGTTAAATTCGTTTTGCAACGCGGTATTCACAGTGGTTCTTCTCGAACCGCAGGTAGTCACAGACATCGCAGCCAAAGTCAAAGTGACGGTGAAGAAACTCCCGCCTAAAGCCGGCGTTCGTGCCCGTGAAAGCACTCCTGCAATCATCACGTTCGCACAACGCTCCTTGTTCCGCGTAGCCACTGATTAGGTGTCTTTTTCTCCTTCTTCAATAACCACGCATTCATTGTTCGGCGCGGCGTTGTTGCAAGCGTTTGACATCGCGAGCTTGATTGGCGGCTTGGCTAGCAGGATCCGCCTGCCACTGGCGCTTGCATTACCGTTCGCGATTTAGCGCGGCTTGGAAGACTGCCGGATCATCGGTAGGCACTTACTGGCGGCACTCGGCCTCCCGGGCCTGTTTTTGTGCCAGGACTAAATCATCGGAAGTAATATTGAAAGACGAGCTAGTTGGTATGAGTGCATCGTAACTTATCCTTAGCGCACACTGACACACGGACAAAGAAAATAAGAGCACTACACCAGCGCTTCTATATATCAACTGAAGGTTTTATTCAGAAAAGGAACATTTATGTAATAATGTAGTCACCCTCTGTCCACTGCGCGCACCGTCGTAATTTCAAATCTATGTCTATCGTACCATAGCTCATGTGTTCAGTATCCGCTTTGGCAGAGACACTTCTTTTTCGAAAATTGTCACTGACGGGTGGCTGATACAGGATCATTGCCTAATGTTTATGTGAAATGCCTCCGCGATCTCTCGTGCGGTGCGATCATGGTGCCTAAACAAGGTGATTGTATTTGAAAAGCGTGCCTCGCATCCGCACTTTGCACAGTGTAAGGCCAAATGCGTTAGCGGCCTGCCCTTTAAAATATGACTGGTGCTGCCTTAGGCGAATATTTATGCAGCGACCAGTCTGCCCCACATACAGTCGTCCGCATGTGAGAAGAAGCGCTGATGTTGTACCCTTCTTTTCTTTGTCCGTGTGTCAGTGTGCGCTAAAAATAAGTTGCGCTGCATCATAGGCCCGGCGATTGCGAGCTCTCACGTTTCTACTGTCGGCGCTCTTCGGAAGTTGTCCGTCGCATACCCTTGTGGAAGGTTTCAGGATAACCTGATGCGTGCGTGGCCGGCACCGCAGCTTTGACAGGGTAGAAGACGTCACACTCAACGCAGACAATGGCGCGCGTACAACGCTGAGAATGACGTAAATGATAGGACAGCGAACGGAGACCGCTCATGACACCGCTGCCGGACAGTTTTTAGTTTCTCCTTGTCATATACAGCTTTCGCTGCAAAACTTTGCGATATACATTGGTGAATTGGGGGAGTCCCTAGTCCAGTACCCCATTGGCTTGCGCTTTGGTCCTTGCGCGGGCCACCAGGGCCTATAGGACCCCCCGGTCCGGGCTGGCCAGTGCAGCCTCCCACCCTTCTCTACTTAAATCCATAAGGACATCTGTTTTGGATGTATCACTCTGACATTCCCATGCCATATGATAGAGTGTAGCTATATATTAGTGTTGCATAGCCTGCATGTGTGTGAGTGGTACTTGTCAGGGTCAATTTTAAAGGGTACGTGTGCGTTGGAATACGATAGCGTTTGTAAGTGGCGCCAGGCTATTAGTGCGGCCTTACTGAGTTGAGGATGCGGTGGGTGATTTTTTTTTCCGCGAGAGCCTTTGGTTTTGTAGTACTTCAGTGGTCAGGTGAGCCATCTGATCTGGAAGAGCTGGAGTCCCTGCACTAAAGTTAGAGTCCTGGGGTGAAAGAGTTCAAGTGGAAGCGTGAGCTATCTCGTTGCCTCTGACTCCACAGTGGTCAGGTATCCATATAGCTTGTTTCCAGTCTGCCTCGAGACAGCCGTCTACTCCCGGTGAAAGTGTTCCGCGTGCTATACAGGATTGATTTTGTCTGGACTGATGGGCTTCCATTGAGTCCGTAAGGTTGAAGGCTGACGCTGTGTTTCTGAGCGCGAGGGTGATAGCGACCTCCGCCATGCTTGTAGCATAATCTTGTACGGTAGATACGCAGTCGACACATCGTACCTGATTTACTACTGCCACCGTGCCCTGCCCTGTATGTGATTGGGCGGCGTCCACGAAAGACGCGCTCTCGTCATCGGAGTATTTATCAGGGGCCATGGCTCTCGCTGCGCCTGTCTGCATGGAATAGGGGAGGGGGTCATATTCCGAGCAAGAGGCTTGTTGATGATGCCTTTGCCCCATGCCTCCAGCAACCTGTGTTTGTTATTAACATGCGTTGGTGGTGTGATCTTCAGTTTAGCTAATACCGACATGCCACTTCTGGAAATGGCTAGTCTGATTAATTATTTGATTGCAAGGTGGGATTTGAATAGCTCTGCTGTGGTGTTGTGAATTCCCAGTTCTTGGAATCATTCTGTGGATGTCCGTCTAGGGAGGTCCAGTGTCTTTTTGAATGTATCGCACAGTAGGTGTCGATCTTTTAATCGTATTTTCTGGATATACGTACGTAAGGTAGCCGTACGTATGTTAATTACCAGGCTGCCTACAAAAGCTTGAAAGAGGCACAGGAGGCCATGTACCTTCAGTCATCTGTGCTTGTTCGTAATCTAGCTAATCATGTGCCTGCTCCTAAGTTTCTGTATTGGGATCGCATTCTTTACTTTGTTGTTATAGCGTGCTCCTGGGATTCTGATGTTTCCGACTTCCTCAACGTAAGGCTCTTCTATCTTGAGCTCGAGAGGTGTGGTCTTCGAATACGTGTGCCGGAAAACGAGCGATTCCGAGTTAGACGGTGAGCATTCAAGGCCCGCGGCGTTACCGATTGACTGGACTGTCGAGGCTGCATTTTGGAGGTTGCGCTCCGAGTTGTTGCGAACCCTTAAACCGTATGATCACATCATCAGCGTACAGGCCGTGGCGGATGCCCCGGAAGGGGTTCTAAGGCAAGCGGCAGTTTATTGAGGGCAATATTGTGGAGTGGTGGTGGAGGATGATTGGGGAAATGGAAGGAGTGGGAGGACACACCGCCGCGGTGGTCTAGTGGTTAAGGTACTCGGCTGCTGACCCGCAGGTCGCGGGTTCGAATCCCGGCTGCGGCGGCTGCATTTCCGATGGAGGCGGAAATGTTGTAGGCCCGTGTGCTCAGATTTGGGTGCACGTTAAAGAAACCCAGGCGGTCGAAATTTCCGCAGCCCTCCACTACGGCGTCTCTCATAATCATATGGTGGTTTTGGAACGTTAAACCCCACATATCAATGAGTGGGAGGAGAACCATCAATTCTGTACCAGTGTGATTTTTCAGGCGACCATTTTTGAATATTCCGAAAACTGGAAGCTCTATTGGTGAGTGCTTGGAAGAAAAATAAGTGTGACTCAGTGCTCGAGCCAATAATAAATTGTAAAGAACAGAAAATGTTTCTTGCGGATTTGGCTTTGAAATGAGGCCTCCTCGCCTCGTTACGAGGTCAAGTTCACTAACTACCGTGTCACTAACCAATGGACTACACGCCCAGGTCTGCAAGGTATCAGTATATAGGAAGCTTATGAATGCGTTGTATTCGCTTTGCCAAACGTGCGTAAAGATAAAAGCACTTTCCAGGATCACTTTGTTTTATACTCCCGTAGTATTGTAACAAAAGCTTGCGCTAGAAGATAACGTTACATGTGAAGCCGACATGAATGGTTGCACATGTCAAGAATACCTCGCGAAATTTTAACGCCATGCTAGCATTTTGGTCGTCGCGCGATACGCCATCTGCGGGGCGTTATTCCACACGCTAACGAACGCTAGCAAAAAGACGAAAGACGTCATGCTGTATTGCGACAACCGCCGAAGGAGATTATTTGGGATTTTTTTTTTATTCTGGCAATTTTGTACATTGATGACGTGCTGCAGATTGGCCAGTCGCGCAGGTACGTCTACTTCGCACTGCGTACGTAGACCAAGGTGGCGTATGATGCACAGCCCAGTCCTGCAGTTGCCGAGCACCGTGTCGGGCAATGTCGTCGAAACTGCGGGAAAACATGCACGTTAAAGGCGTCCTGAAACACATGTCAGGGCAATCATCAATCGACCTCTGTATTAGATTTTAATGCAACACGAATCAATCACCGCAAAATTTATTTCGAATCCGTCAAGTACGAGCTCTGTTACAGGCATTGTTCACCCGCTTTAAGCACTGTTTCTCTTATTTTGTCACGACGCGCGAGCTGGAGGCTACACAGGAAGAGGTGACAGAAGGGAAAGAAGCTACGTCACACGTCACGCACGTGTCACAAATTTGAGCGCCCATTATGAAATGCGATCACTCCCTCACAGTGTCATTGGTCTTATTCCGATGCGTGCTGGTGTCTATACATTACGTATAGCATTCCCACACTTTGCTATCCTCTGAGCATTGGCTAAAAAAGAACTTTGTCACTTCAACGACGTACAGCTTAAATGATACTTTCGTGCGACAACAAGCCTCTCTAGACGGCCTGTCGTCTGTCTGGCGTTAGTAGGAACGATCCTGCCGTAGATCTACACGTATTGTCACAGCAAGGCGCCACATTGTCGGGAGCCGTGTCACGATAGTGACCACTTATTTCTCAGTCTGGCTCTCCGTGAGAGCGCTACCACCATGTGGACGACTCCCCAGCACAAGGTGCGGTGAACAAAGGTTGACGGTGTTCGACGACAAAGACGCATTCCGAGGAGAACGGCTCAGTCCGCGTCTGGGCAGCCTCTTTTCATTAACTTCCCTTTTCGTCGGGCGCCGTCTACCTACTGGCCATCCTTCGCGTGTCCCAAACATAACTTACAGTAACTTCACGCAATGGCGTCCAGCGCCACTCAGCAGGAAAAAAAAACAACGTTTTGTGCGCACATAAGCGCGACGAGTTTCACGGAATTATCTAACCATGACCGTGAGACGACCGTGAGTTCTCTTTCGCAAAAGTGCACTGATTCGCGACGTAGTTAACCCCAAGCGTCCTTCATTCTAAAAGATATTTGCAAATGCGATGAATCTAGGAGGCCATACTTTACGTTTTCGTTGAATGCCATGCGGCGCCGCGGCAAATATTCACGCTCACTATCCAATTTATACAATTTTATGTCGCATTTCAAGCTACTTTTTGTTGAAATACCTGAAGCTATTTGGAGAAACAAACACGAACAATACAACTAAAACAAGCTATAGAAAAAGAGAAAAAAAACTCATCTAAAGTTGTAATTTGAACTCTGGCTTTTTGGAGTGGGAAGCGAGCATGCCATTGCTGCTTTGTGTGTGTGTGTGTGCGTGTGCGTGTGCGTGTGCGTGTGCGTGTGCGTGCGTGGGTGTGTGTGTGTGTGTGTGTGTGTGTGTGTGTGTGTGTGTGTGTGTGTGTTTTGTTTTTATTTTGTTCTATTACCTGTTCCCAGACATTATACGTACATCAACAGTGACAAAAAATAACTGAGGTACGTGGTGCAGGTATTGCATTGCTCACGGGCTAATATTCAGAAATTTCATCTTGTCTTCACAGTTTTTGTCTGAGCTTCGAGTTGGAAACAGTGCAGCCAAACGAATCTGTTTAGGTCAGTAAGAAACGGAGTTCCGGACTACCATACCTTTTCATAAGAGAAATGATAAACAGTTTGTTTTTTTTTTGTTTTTTTTTCGTAACATGAGTGATCCTTTCCTACGTATGGTTCGCCAACCAATGGTCATGAGGGCTGTGCCTGCATGCACCAACTTGGCTGCATGCACCACTCCTTTTTCTATATCTTTCCTTTCTATTATTCCCCTTTTCCCCCACCCAAAATGTAGGGTAGCCAACCGAGCCGAGCTTTGTTAACCTCCCTGCCTTTCCTCTCTATTTATCTCTCTCTCTCTCTCTTTCTCTCTGGTGGAGCCCCGCACTACTCTTGAAGACGACGACAGATGGCGCACTACCAATTGCAGTGTCCCAAGCGGCTTGACTATGCTTGGGCTTCTGTGCATTGGGTGCGGCCGGTCCGAGCGCTCCCCTTTTCTAGGACCCTGTAATGCTACGTTGGAGAAGATTTTGGCTCCAGGTTCGGCTAATATAAGGCGTCCGTCCAAAAATAGATGAAAAACAGCTAGGACGTTCGCTTATTCTGTGAAGCATGTCCCATGGATGTCCGCTTCATTCACACTTTTGGTATCAGCGGAATCACTACATTTCCAGCTCAACCGAGGTGGTTTTTCAGGCTGAGCAAACACAGTTTGAAGAAGTGTGGCAATAATACCCTATTTCGCAGTGAGCGAGCTTCTAAACGACCATTGCGTGACTCGTGTTATTATTAAACAAAAACTATAATTAAGCCTGACAAAACCTTCATGTGGTTCTAGTTTTCAACTTTCACGGGCACAGCCATTACCATCGCATGCAGTAAGAACCAGTGTCGCGGGCGTCTCTTCAGTCATTCGAAGATGACAAAACGTAGGTGGAAAAATTCTGTTCTAGAATTTTCCACTTGCTGTCCAGAAAAACCGCTGCAAGGTTCGACACTTCAGACGGTATGCTCTCTATTGCGACATGAAACAGAATAACGACGAAGCATGGTATAAAGTCAGTTCAGTGTTTCATGCATTATTTTAATCATCCTGCCGCCCGGTTCTTGGCCCGTCTTTCTTTGTGGGTGAGCGTCATTTATACGGCCATCATCATCATCTGAGCACTCACGGACAGCCATATTCTACTATCCCCTAGCTACGTACAGATTGGGCCTATTGTACAGGCTATAGCACCCCAGCTCACAATTTTGTCGCGTGTCTATTTCACTCTTCGCATTCTTTCCCATCTTTTTTCCTCATTCTCCCTTCCCTTAGTACAGGGTAGCAAACCGGATGCTTGAATGCCTGGTTAACCTCCCTGCCTTTCCTCATTTTATTCGCTCGCTTGTTAAAGTATAGCCCTGCCACGATGGTCTAGTGGCTTAAGTACTCGGCTGCTGACCCGCAGGTCGTGGGATCCAATCCCAGCTGCGGCGGCTGCATTTCCGATGGAAGCGAAAATGCTGTAGGTCCGTGTGCTCAGATTTGGGAGAACGTTAAAGAACACCAGGTGGTCGAAATTTTCGGAGCCCTCCACTACGGTATGGCAGACACTCCTACATGCGACTACTGCGGAGCTGAAGAGACCATCGAACACGTCCTGCGCAGCTGCGCTTGCTACGACACGCAGCGATGCCAGCTCCGGATGGTTTTGAATCAACTTGACCCCGGACCATTTTGTGTGCAGAAGATACTAGGACCTTGGGCATCTGCCTCAGTTGCGCAGAAAGCAACTAAAGCACTGCTACTTTACCTAAAGTCAACAAACCTGAGCGACCGCCTGTAGACTGTGTGTGCTCCCCGAGTGTGCTCGTGATTGTGTGTACCTTCTCATCTCTCTGCAACCTCTTTTCTCCCCAGTGCAGGGTATCAAACCGGATGTGCGTCTGGTTAACCTCCCTGCCTTTCCTTGCATCTTTATCTCTCTCTCTTTCTCTACTACGGCGTCTTTCGTAATCATTTCGTGGTTTTGGGACGTTAAACCGCACAAATAAATCTTGTTAAAGCATAAAATATTAATCCGCAATACGCCACCACAGCAGCCCTATAATCTCTAGCACGCAGGACGCTCACCTGACACGCTTTTGGTCCATTGGACTTTGGAAGTTTCGGATGGTCGCGCCCGCCTCTTAGTGGTAATACGGCGCGTACGGCAGCTTGACCAGGGCTGGTGCGGCGTGCAACTTGATCACCGGCGGCGGGTGGGCGGCGTGGAAGTAGGAGTAGCTGACGGCCGTGGGCACCTTGGCCACGACGGGCGTGTAGACGGGGGCCACCACCTTGGGCACCACGAGGGCGGGTGCGGCTCCGTAGCCGTAGCCGTACGGCAGCAGCGCTGGGTAGCCGGCGTGCACGACGCACATCGACGCCACGAGCAAGATGGCGGCTGAGAGAACCTGCGGTCCATACGTTTAATCGGTGATAGCGACAGGATAAACACAATTTAAATAGTTCCACAACGTGCAACTATAGTCGGACAGAGAAAGTGTAAGTCTGCGTGAGGGTATATTAAGGCAGCTTAGATTCGTTGCGGGCACCATTATCGTCATTTATCATTAGTATTTCATTTTTATTAATCCTCCTCTGGTCACGTGACGTGCGTGCCGCCTACTGCTACTACTACTGAGACGACGACGACGCCACATCTGGTTAATAGGCGAACAATAACATGAACAAAGCTAAGAGAGCTTCTGTGCAAAATGACCTTTGACCCTTGTTTCTCGTGAGGTTGCCAGCGTGAGAACTAGATTATCACCTGTCATTTATTTTAAATGCGAAGTGAAAATAAATTGGATGTTATACGATCATCAAAGGTTTCTATGCTTCATCAATAAAACTGCGGTTATCCGTGCAAAGGCCAGCGATGCGATTCTAATAAACGAAAGGGCAATCGGCTATAGTAGTTGAAGGCGGTGAACAAGGGGCTATACCGACAGCTCGGGATAGCAAAATGGCTGTGACTTGCCAATCATGCGACTGAAAGTGAATATCGTAAACATCGACAAAATTGACACGTTCAATACGTGCTTGAGTGAACCAAAGGGGGACAGTTTTCGACATTTGGCGATTGCGTGCTTGAGGGCAGCATGGTAAAAGTGCGCCAGCGCTCAGTCACGTGACCTTTTTCATTCGTGGCTTTACTCGTGGTTCCAAGTAATACGCGAGACGTATCGCACATGAAACAATTCAATCGGTGGTGTCTAAAAGTTTTCTGAAAATCTGTTATCATACATGCTTGAGTAATTAAACACAATTTATGATAAAGTTAAGGAGAAAATCCATGTAGCCCGAGTAAATATATACGCTAGTTAAAATATCATGCGTTCGGTTCAGTTCGCTTTCGACGCGCCTTTTTAAGTTTTGGATCAAGTAGCATGATACAACCTGGATAAATTCTAGCAGTAGATTAGATTACCTACAGACACACTGGGCTGGCCTTGTTTAGGTCATGTTAAGTTAGCTTATGCTATACGCTATGTTAGTTTAGGTCATCTTCGGTTGTGTTTGGTTGTTAACGCATCTGACACTTCATATACATTCCGTCTATTGAAAAAAGAGTGCTGAAGCGCAGGAGCTGAAATTGTACACCACTTGGCTGAACCTGTCGACACTAATCCTGTGCTGCGCACGTAGTTCACGAATTCGGTTCTCTCGTCCGGAATGTCACTCACGGCGTGCATGATGCTGGCGTATATGTAGATGCTTCTCCGCGTATGAAGACACGACACGACTCTCGGCTGAGATGCTATACGGGCAAGTTTCGGCCTGCTTATCTCGACAGACGGCCGGCGGGTACCTTTTATACGACGCTCGCCCCACTCTTCCGCCCCTCTTTCACACATTCCAACTGTCCGTATAGTGCGCCCCCCCCCCCCCCCCACATCGGTCAGTCAGCCCAGAACGCGAACCTTCTTGCCAACCTGCGCAATACCCTCACCCATACCTTTCGACTAGCGAAGAGACGCTCAGTCAGAAAGAGACCACCACCTCGTTTTCGCCCTCTTTCTGTTCATTTACACCGGATGAAAAGAATAGCATGACACGGGCCCCCCTTCTCCCTTCCCTTACATCATCGGCGTTGCATCCGCCTCTTCTCATTCTTCTTGCTGCTTCTTCCGCAGGCCTCGTCGAAAGGACCGTGAGTAAGGGCGTTCTCGTAACGAGCAACGGTTACGAGCTCCTTGTGCGAATTTTCAGCTCTCTTTTGTCGAGGCATTGTACGGTGTTTGTTGTTGTCGCTGCTGTTGCATTTAGAGACAGGCAGGCGACCAGTCCCCGCTCGCGGAAGGTGGTCTCGTCATCTTTGTCAGCCTGTTTTGAAAACAACTTCCTGTTTAAACCACTAACACGCGCACCAGTAAAAGAGACACATAGCTCGCCACTGGACTGGCGACTGAAGATTTATCGACCACTTCGATGCATGATAACGCAGAACAAACATTGTAAGAAATGCTCTGTTCATGCTTCCTATTATTTGTTAGTATAGAAAAAGTTTTCTTCGGATGCATGTGTAGTGCTTCGTTTTTAAGCAGGCCACTATTTTCTTTTCTTGAAGTATTTTTCTAGTGGGCACCTAATGGTCTCAGGTAACGCGGTTGATTTCTTCCCTTTGTTTAATTCGGCAGTTGTGTAAGCGGAAGGTGGGATTATGAAAACGATGGGGGAGAGATACATGCTCCTGCATACACTTGTAGGAAGGGCATGGCTTCCCCCTTGTACCCTGCCTAATATGCAACACAAGAAGGCATGTATACATGCCCCTCCTCCCCTAGTCATGCAAACACAGATACGCGTCAAAGCAATAGTCCAATGCCGGCGTTAAACACTGAATGTGCGCCCAATCCCTGCTGTAAACGTATAAGGTGTTATAGCGTTTTTGCAGATACGTTAATGAAATGATGTCTTACCATATATGTCCATTTAATAGCGTATCTACCGAAACGACGTAAGCATGTATGGTGATAAACGAAAAACAAAACTGCGCACACGTTGTTTATTCATTTTCCTGCCGGCAAGACGGTGGAAAATGGGGTCAGGTTCTGTGACGATCATCTCTTTCCTTGCAAGAAGTATCAGCTCAGTGCTGCATGAGAAACAGTCACTTTCGACTGAGACAAAAGTCGAAAATATCTTCCCACTTGATTAGCACAGTTTCTGCGGTAGTTATTGGGTTTAACGCTTCATGAATGCTATAGTAAACGTGTGAGATGTTTGGTCAACGATGCGGTGTGCTAGCCTATCTGATCTGCACCGAGTCCTTACCGCACGAAGTTTCCGGGTTTACGTCACCAAACGCGTAAGCTTTCCTCTCGGCGGCATGCAGGACGTCGTTGCTGTGTCCATCACGCAGAGACAATGTACGTGCACGTCACGTACGCACATATACGCCGCAAAATGAAAGGTGTGTGCGGATCTCACAATTATGATGGTATTTCCTGTAGCAACATCGTCACCCACGACCCACGCCAGTTCCCGTTGTGCGGGTGTGCCATGAAGACAAAAGTGATGTTATGATTACACACGGAAAAATTTACGAGACGATGACCACCAGCGACAGCGCGTGTCGCTTTTCCGTTTGAGGTGCGGCAGCGAAAAGCGTCGCTAGCACTCGGGCGAATGCAAACTGCCTACGCTGTATTGTGCTGCAGTTCCGAAGCGGTCGGTGAAGTGGATTGGGCGCTGAGCCCGTGCAACTCTTGCCGACAGCGTGGGCAGAGCGCGTGCAGCCTTTCACGTCAGACCATCGCGGTCGGGTCAAGCACGGTAGGACGCGTGCCGGCTTGGTATAAGATTGACAACTAGATCGCGCGCGCGCGCATTAACCCTTTAATGCTGCACTAGTCGTGTGTATACAGTGTAGGAAGGAAGTTAGGACCGCGAGGCCCATTTCGAAGGCGAGTAAGACGGGGCGTGGAGTCGTAATCGAGAGAGCGAGCACGACAGCGAGATGAACTGAAGGCACTCGATGCAACTGGGAAAAGCGAGGGGAGGAATGGTGAATCGCCCGAGTGTTTTGATAGCGGCCGTCGAAACGGCCGAACGCAGCTGTGCGCTAATGCGCCGCGTTGGTGGGGAAATGGGCGAGGCGGCAGCCTCGAAAGGCCTCGTAGCTGCGTTGCCGAGCGCAAATGATGCATTCACGCGACCCTGCCAACGACATGCCGGTCAGTGTGTTTCGCCACTGCAGCTGCTGCCGTTGGCGCTGTCGTGCGTCTACAGCCGTCTAATGGTCACTTCCGCAACGCGTGCCGAACCTTTCTTCCCGTTTCTCGCACGCTGATTTGAATGTCGCATGTACTTGCGTTTTCTTGCCGGTATTCTTTTGTCCGGACCGTGAAAGACCGAAGGAAAAGGTCGCCGATCCAGTGTTCCCGTCGCTCGTACGGAGGTCAGTGGGCTTGGCCCTTTGATCACGGCAGCACCGGCGGTCCTTGTTCGTGGAGCTTTCAAGGTGACCGCTCGGATCGCGCTGCATGTGGCCGGCGTCCCTCACTAAACTACAAAAACTGAGAAAGACAAAAGAGCTTACTGTCTGTCTGGAGTTAGGATGGCACAGTGGAGTATGCACACTCGTATGTGACATTGGTGGACAGAGGCCACCGTCGTATGTCACAACACTAAAACACCAGTTGTCAGTTGAACTTCCCTGAATGCTTGCAAGCATGGCGCTAACAAATATTCGTACCGTTGCTGTCCAAGTGCCACTGATAGGCAAGCTAGCTTCAAATAAGGATCACGTGTGACGGCCCTTTCGGTGTATTATCAGCCCCCGAGTGCATTGATTTCAATGGTCTTTCCTATACCCGAAAGCGCTATATATTTTTGAACCCGTCATTTGAGGCACTTCTTTGCATTTTACTGATCAAGTAGGCCGGAAATCAGCACTTTTCTCAACGAGACGGAAATCTTGCGTCTATTTTAGATCGCCGATATAGAAGTATTTATTGGCAGAACCATGATACCGGCGTGTATAGGAGATCAGCGGTTCCCGAAACATATCAACAAACGAAACTTATCTTTAGGGCGTCCGCTTACGGATACATGCAAACGTCCCGAAAGTTCCAAATAACGCAGAGTGCACGATGTTTTCACGATTAGAAACCTGCCTCGGCAAATGACAGTCAAACGAACAGTGCGACCCGGCCAATCCGGCTGTTCGTATAATGGATGGTCAAAATGCCGATAATGAGCGGAAAGTGGCTTCTGCTGCCTCGGGAAGTCGTGAAAACGCTCAAACTGCAGGTGCGTGCATGCGCTCGTAACAATTCTTTGGGGTGGCCTTGTGGTCGCGTAAAAGTATTCGGTTTGAATTCCGACCGTGTGTATACGTTCACTTCGGTATATGAGGCGATTCCCATTGCGCCAGCAGTAGGTTGATTGCCGCCGCCCCTGTCATTGTAAGGCTTTGGTGTGCTGTTCGTTGCTGTGCTTTCGACAAAGCGTCGCTTTCGCGTCTATTGTTCCAGTTATTTGCCACGAGGAGCGTTGAAATATGGGTCCGCTCCAGTTTTCTTTTCGCATACAGAATGGCCGCGTTGAGTAACCCAAGTCATGGATTTTTCGTTCTCGGCGCTTGCAGCAACAGAAGCACGCAATTCGAAAGACAATGAGTCTTTAAGTTCTTTTGTTTGAGAGAAACTATACCGTCTGTTCTCGTTGACAAAGTTTGGCAGCCGCTCCATAAGCATCGCGCACAAAAGGCGTCACGGATACGTAAATTACTGGCGTGACCTAACTCCTTCTTGACCCAGCCGGCCATAATTTAGCCGGTACAAACTAAGCGCAAAGCTTTGCTTGCGTATATATTATGGCATCTGGGCCACTAGAACTGTCACAAGGTGGCCCTCGGAACAAAGTATAAATGTGTGCGTAATGTCTAATTCGTACTTGGGATAATTATGTTTACCATTTATAGCCGATTACAAGCTACTGCCAAATATTGTAGCGGTAGTTGTTTCCCACTCTTAAATTTTTTCTGGGGGCTTAAAGTGTACTTGTGGGTTATAGTTGCTGGCCATTACAGCGCACACTGGTAGAAAAGATGAACACGAGCAAAAGGCTAGCATGCTGTGTTGTACTTTGTGCGTGTGCGTGTCTGTGTGTGATTTTAATCTGGTGTACACTACCATACAGCCTAACATTTCTGTAAGAACATTTTTTTTTTCTGTATACAATAAGTGAATATACATTTTAACAGCAGAAAGCGTCGTTAGTCAACGAAAGGTCTCAGCTATAACACTTTTTAAAACTTGCTCTTGCTGCTGCAAGTATCGCAGCGGCGCCCGATATCCTATATCAGCTCAACGATACTTATAGCGCGAGAACACAACGACGACAAAGAGACAATAAGAACATGAGCGCTGTTTGTCGTTGTGTTCACGTTCGTCATGTCATACAAACTAGCCCAAACTGCCACAATCCTATCAGCATCGCAACAGCGTGGCTACGCCCACTACAGGGCAAAGGCCTCTCTCATGATCCGTCAATCAAACCGGTCTTGTACTTTATGCTGCCACGTTACGCATGCGAGCATTTTAATCTCATCGGCCCACCTTACTTTGTCTCCACTTCGTGCGTTTGCCTTCTCTGGGAATTCAGTCAGTTGGTTATCTTGCCTACGTGCTACGTGCCCGGCCCTTTCAACTATGACACCCTGGATCCGGTTTGTTCCCTGACCCACTTTGCTCTGTTCTTGTCTCTTAAGGTTACACCTATCATTTTCCTTTCCATCGCTCACTTCTGCCCCGCCGCGGTGGTC